TTCTTTGGCCGGCCCGGTGGCGCACTGGATAGTGCGCCGCTTGGGAAGCGCGGCGGCGCTCCCGTCCGAGGGTTCGGATCCCATGTACAGACCGGTTCCTGCTCCCTGGCTGAGCGAGGCGCAGGAGCAACACCGAGGGTTGCCATCCCGTTGCCGGTCCCCGGTCCGGTACGGGGGCAACACTGAGGGTTGCGATCCGTTGCCGGACACGGAAAAAGACAAAAGACAAAAAAAAATAGAAATAAAAGGTAAATGGATAGAAGAAGATGAACTACAGAAACAGTAAGCATAAGAAGGTGGAAATGGGTATATCAATATCACATAAAGTAGACTTCAAGACAAAAGGGTATTACCAAAGATGAAAAGAGATATCTCAGGCTGGTACGATGGTAGTGGGTTATCAGTACTTATTAGTGTCATGAAAGTTGTAATTTGATGGGTTTTAAAAGAAAAAGAAAAAGAGTTATATCGTAATGATAAAAAGGCCAGTCTGTCAGGAAGACAAAATTATCATAAATGAATATTCGTCCAGTAAGAGAGCTTTAAAATATATGAAGCAATGTTTCACAGAATTAAAGGGAGAAAGAGACAAATCCACAATAAGACAGAGATTTTAACAACCCTCTTCTTAGCATTTGATAAAACGTATAGACCAAAAAAAAAAAATCAATAAAAGCAAAGATGATCTGAACAACTTTCAACTAACTTTACTTCAGTAGAGCACCACACCCATTAAAATCCTATAGTGCATGTTCTCTGACCACAATAAATTAAACTAAAATTTGGTAACAATAAAATATTTAGGAAAACTCCAAATATTTTAAAATTAAACACTTTATGGGTCAAAGAAATCACAAATGATATTAGAAAGTGTTTTAAACTCAATGAAAGTGAAAACGTAATACACCAGAAATTATGGGATACAGGTAAAGCAGTGTTTAGAGGAAATTTTATATCTTTAAATGCTTATATTAGAAACAAGAAAGGGTCCATAATCAATGACCTAAGGTGACCTTGGTTAGCTAGAAAGAGGACACAAAGTAGAAGGAAGAAAATGATAAAAACAGGAGAAGAAATAAAGGTAACAGACAAGCAATAGAAAAAAATTAACAAAAGCAAAAGTTGATTTTTAAAAAGATCAAGAAAATTGATAAATCTCTAGTTAGACTGATCTAAAAAAAGGGGGAGGTGGGGTACAGATGCACAACACAAACCACCAATATCACAAATGAAAGAGGGCACGTTGTGATGTATCTTACAAGCACTAAAAGGATAATAAGTAAATATTATGAACAACTTTAGGCCAATAAATTGAACAACTTAGATGAAATAAACAGTTTTTGAAAAATACAACTTATCAAAACTGACACAAGATGAAAAGGCAAATCTGAATAATCCAATACGTGTAGCTTCCTAAACTCCAGGTTTGAAGCCCTCCAATCAATTCTGCGTGCCACCACTTGACCCATCTTCCTTAAATACCTGTTCTATCTTCTCATTCCTACATTTCAAAATCTTCAAAAATTCCTGATATGCATCCCTTGCCTAGTTTTCAGACTAATCTTCTACCACCCTCTAAACACATCCCTGAAGGTTAATCATGCCACCATCCCTCAGACATGCCAACCCACTCTATCTCATACCTTCTTTCACATGTCCTTGCCATCAACGCCATCCTATTTGTAGCCAAATCTCATCTATTCTTCAAGATTCAGCTGGGTCTGATCTGCAAAAAGCTTTCCAGGCTATGCCCAGCCCTCAGGGTATCCCTTCTGGGCAACATGACATCATTAACATTGTCTTATAGGGAGGCCATTGTTGTCTTATGTATTAGTCTGGCTGTCCCAACTAAATTATAAGGTCTTTGAGAGCAAGAATTCTTTTCAAACTTCTGTATCCCCTAAAGCAACTATTCCAGGATTAAGCACATAGTACAGATTCAATAAATACTTGTAATCTGTTGAATGAATACATGTATATAAAGCCAAGAGCTTATTTCTATGGTTCCTGTCAGACTCTCTAGACTGTCATTCTGATCTCAATAACAGTTTCAGAGCCATCTCTACGAATTGGCAAGACCTTCTCTAATAACTATTCAAGAAACATTTGGTTAAAATAAACAGAGGAAGAGGAGAGCAAGGAACAATGCTAAAATTACATCAATAGCTAGCTATTAAAGACCTTCTCTAATAACTATTCAAGAAACATTTGGTTAAAATAAACAGAGGAAGAGGAGAGGAAGGAACAATGCTAAAATTACATCAATAGCTAGCTATTGGGATGACTTGGGTTGGTAGGTCACATAAGAACATGGGGCTGAGTTTTACATTCTGCTGCTACTAATATCTGATAAACACACACTAATATCAGTAAGGTCTGACTTGGGTTGGTAGGTCACATAAGAACATGGGGCTGAGTTTTACATTCTGCTGCTACTAATATCTGATAAACACACACTAATATCAGTAAGGTCACCTTCATCAGTCCTCTTCCCACCTTGAATCCCTGAGGGCATAGAACGAACCATGGGGCTCCCAGGGCTCCAGGGGCTCCCGGCAGAGGGATGAGTTCAGTTTATACTTCCAAATACACCTGTACTTTCCAATCTTTATGTACTCACATCTGTTTGGATACAGACACAAAATAACAATGTCTTCTAAAAAGCAAAAGTTACCAGATACTTATTGTCTTTTACCACTGCATATAAATTCACCTAAATTATAAATGTCTTAACTGTAACCAAATACTATCAAAACAGTGACTACAAATCTTTCTTTTTAAATGGATCTTTCACAAAAATAATTTTGCATTTAGAGTAAAACTATCAGTATTATTTGTGAATACACATAATTTTGAGGAAAAAAATGTTTCCTGTGGGGTTAATTCACCAAATAAGAAATCCCTGTAAATAAAAAAAATCCTCTCAACTTCTCTTCCATTGAAGCCTTCCTTTCATTTAACCAAACATAGCTTTATATCATCATTTCATTCTCCTTCTCTCTAATTAGAGAGATCTGGTTGTTCTTCTCTATAGGCAGATTAGAAAGTTGGGGTGTTTTGTTCTACCAGTATTCAGAGTTCTAATCCTTAGAGCACTATCATAACGGGAGGAATTGTGTGATTTGGAGCAGGGAGGCGCCAAAGAAATATATCTGAAGGAAAGACACAACACACACAATGCAGAGATTCTTTTGAATATAAACACACAGATTCCTATAAAAAATAGTGGGCTACTCCAGCTATTTCCAGCTCATGGCATTGAACTGGGATCTTGCAAGCAATGCTGTCCTTACCCAGATTGGAGGATGCTCGCCCCTCTGCAGCCCGGTCTTTGAGATCTTCAGCAATGCCCAGCTGCTGCTCATGGTACTGTTTAGCCCTCTCCAAATCCTGCATGCACCTGGCAGCATGGCCCAGGCCAGCATAGGCCCGCATCTCAATGGCCTTCTCCATCAACTCCTGTGCCAGCTCCAGCACGTAGTTGTGGTAAGACATGGCCTTGTCAAAGTTCCTCCGGTAGTGATAGGCACTGCCCAGGTTGCTGTAGGCCCGGGCCTCTTCTCGCTTGTTTCCCAGGTCCTTGGCTATCTTCAGATGCTGCTCATGGCACTGCACAGCATTCTCGAAGTCACCCATGGCGATATACACAGCTCCCATGTTGCCAAGTTCTCGGGCTTCAGAAAGTTCATCTTTGGATTGCTTGGCAAGAAGAACACACTGTTTGTGACTGGCAAGTGCATTGGGGTAGTCTCCAATGGCTGTGTACACATGGCCCAGACTGCTCAAGGCTGATGAAGCTGCCTGGAAAGAAAGGGTAAGGCAGAGAAATGAAAGCACATCAGAAAATGGCTTTGGTTTATTTCAGAAGAGAAAATTTTACAGTTCGTCTATAACTATCCAATCCAATTCCTAATGGTGTTTATATCAGTTTTCCACAGACCAATGCAGAACTGATAAAGAGCACATCCAAACATCAAGTTTCTAATAAAAAGAAAATGGTAATTTAATCAGTAACTGTCCACACCCAATCTCATAAAAACAGGTTGCATTCCATATAACCTTCATCTTAAAGACTTATTGACATTTCTAATATTCACGATGATATTATATCTCTGTTAGTACTTACTAGCCTCTGTGGTATAAGAAAATGTTGAAGAAAACCAAAATTAATTGCTACATATAATAGACCATAGGAAATTCATAGGATAAATCCACACTTGGCTCTTTACATTCCTGGATATTTTTCTATTTGTGTCTTCTTCCAAAGCAAACAGATACATTAATGCTATCCGTCATCATGGCAAACATCTAGCTACAGGCAGTAAGCATTTAGCTACCGGCAGTAATGAAGGAAGAGATAGGTAGACAAGCTTTCAACTTTTAGAATAAAAAGAAGGGCAGAAAACACCTAGCTGTCATTGCTATTTATGGCCCCTTACCAATTCCTCCCTCCCCCATCCCTGAGCCTAGAAGGGGTGGTGAGTCTTAATGGAGACCACCCCATTCAGAGGTATAGGTGGTAACCCACCCATTGTTTTCTTCTGAGACTCAAACAAATCTAAGCCCTCCACAGTAACTAGCACTCATGAAGTCACGCTGAAGAAACAAAGATAAAAGAGCAAGACCCTCCAGTGGGTCCTGGGTCACAGAAGTATTAGTCATTGTTGTATCACACAGGTACAACAAATATAACAAAGGAGATGTTTCTACAATCTTACCAAGCACATATGGTCTTAGACTCTAGTCTTCAGTTTCTAATTCCTTTGCAGAGATAGAAAAGGGAAGCTATACGGGGTGTTTTCTGCCCTTCTTTTTATTCTAAAAGTTGGAAGCTTGTCTACTCCTCCCTTCCTTCATTACGGCTTGTAGCTAGAGCCATGTAGCCCCTCTTCACGATGCTCCCTCTTCATAGCATGAACATGTGAGCCTGGCAGAACAGAGTGTGCTCTGTCACAAATAGGCAAGCCATCTTCCAGAGGGCCTCCAGGCTAGGGAATAACAATGAGGAGATGCTGTCTCTCCTGAAGTACAGGCATTTCTTTATGAGATGTGTTCTATGTCTGTGCACTTCAGAACACTTTCATTAATATTTTATAGATATGAATGATTTGCTACCCTATTTTCTTTCTGTGTGAAACAGCAGTTCTTGATCAAAATAATTGAGAGATCATTTTTTATGGCGCTTGCAAATAGAGTATTTGCAAAGTGTTCCATATTGTTTTAAGTTGCTTTTATCATTTCACAGATGTTCCAAAAAAAAGATTTAGAAAATAGGAAATAAGTACTTAGAAATTTACTTTTTGTTATTATCTGGGTGGTGGTGAGTAGAAACAATTCCACGAATATCACAATGCCACAGCAGTGTGATTCTGGTAGAAGCAGCAATGATGTCACCAAAGAGCATGAAACTTGGATACATACTGGCCCCAGGTCCTGCTTTGGGAACCTCTTTAGGACTGAGGTTAGGACGCATGTCAGCACATCATACGTGTGCCTTTCTACTGCTCACACCTCCACCTGCACCCTACTCTGACAATCTTTTCTTCCTTTACTGAAGAAGAAAAGGGACTTAGCCTCTCTCCTCTTCTTCAGTAGTTGGTCCTCCTACCTTATTCTTTGGGGTTCTTCTCCTGCCAAGCCTGGCTAATGACACAGTCCACAAACCCTCCTGCCCACAAATCTTTGTTGCCCTAAATGTAAACACATAGCCTCTTTCACTATGAAGCTGGTGTAGCTTAGAATCAGACACACATGGTTCAGAACTGCACTGCCCTTTACTAGTTCTGGGATCTTTAACAACTTAACTTCTCTGAGCCTCAGACAGACATTTCTAGACGCCAGCAGCAAGCCAAAAACTGAATGTATTTGAATCCAACCATGAGCCCCTGTCAAATGTGTAAACAATAAATAATTCACTAGATAATTCCAAATAGATCTGGTTGGAGGCAATGAGCCCTTGAACACTGCATGGGATGAATTTATAAGACTCCGGGCAGGCACAACACCCCAGACACCACTGTTTTCAGGAACTTCTGGTTTACGGCAACTCCAAATGACAAGCCCTGGGATCCTCTGCTTCTGGTTCTTCATTTCTCTAAATGCCTTTGAACATAAGGAAGGGGAATATTTGGGCATTTCCCTTTTAGGGTATAAGAGAAAGAAAGAAGGACTACTATATTAACTCTTCCCTGGTATCCTCCAATTACCAAGCAGTGCCGTCAGGCTGGGACTCTTCGTGGTGGGTGTTCTGAATACCAGCATCTCTAAGAGGATGATATAATTTATGAAGCACACATGATAGCCTCTGAAATTAGGGAGGTAGTTCAGTATAGTGTAAGAGTGGAATAGGATTTAGAGTCAGAGGGCCAGACTGTGTGATCCTAATAAACTTTTTCGCTTCTTCACTTGTTTTCTTTATTTGTAAAATAGTGCAAATAACAATACTATACATACTTCACAGGGTGGGGGGATAGGATAAAATGAAGCAGTGTGTGTTAACACCCTTAGTAAACTGTAAAGTGCTCTGAGAATGTATCACTAAGGTGTAGATGGATGTTTTATGATTACAAGCTGGCTAGGCTGAGCTCTGTTACCAAGAAGCAGCTAGTAATGACAACTGATAAACCATCAGTCATTATGACCAAACATCTATATTCCTATCAGTTGCCACAGGAAATGAAGTCCAGTATTTTACAGCCCCTTGGCAAATAAGATGTGATGGTATTTATCAGCTAAGTGAATTACAAATTAATCACTTGTCTTTGTTCCTGTTCCAGTAGAATAAGCTTAGATCTGAAACATGGTTTCAGGCTGTTAATGAGAATCTGAAGACCCATTTTCTACAGGGAATCACAGGCCCCACCTCAAGCAGATGTTGCATTTGCCACTAAGGTTCAGGCTGCCTTTGTATATTAATCTCTTTGAGATTTTTGTGCTAGAATAGCAGCAGCTGCTTTCCACAGTGGAAACATTTTGGAACATCTGTATTTGAATACTAAAATGCACACAACAGATATGCTAACAAACTATCTGGTTGGAATAAGACAATACTTTTCTCTTTCTACAAGATATAAATGACTCATGTTCCTGCCAGAGTGTAATTTCCAGCTGAAGACTTAGGCATATAGAAGTCAGTCACCCCTTGCTCTGTGACCTAAATATTTGCAGAATAACTGCATCCAACAAGTCGGTTTCATGGAACATGAAGCTAGAGTAGAAAATTTGCTCATATTTCTTCAAACCACCTTAAAGTGTTTTTAGTTTGAGAAATAAAATGAAGTTTAAACTACTCAAACTATAACCACATTGATGACACTATCATTAAATATTACGCTGATGATTTAAACATAATTTCTTTCCATCTAGCATGTTTCTTTTTTCCTTACTGTATGTATTTTTCATAAGGGTTATATTTTGTGGGAGGATTAAATGCACAGTAGTGTTATATAGAGAATATTCAATATAATTGCTGATTGATTAATTGCATGTAGTTGGAAAAATGGGAAATGTACTTATAGCTAGTACAAGAAATGCTAAATCCACATGCACCATGTATCTATCCCCTGCCAGTTCAGTGCCCATAAACCCAAGGTCCTAGACTAACCACCCACAATCCAGGAGGCAGAGGGACACAGAACAAGGATGGACTCTGGAATCAGGCATGAATGTGTTCAAATGACACACTGTGTGATAATGCACATTATTTAACATCTCTGAGCCTGTTTCCTCATCTGTAAAATGTTAATATTAATACATCACAGAGCTTTTATGAGTACTAGATAGTACTTACAGTGAGCCTGGTTCAGGGATTGGCACATAGAAGATTCTCGAAAACTTTAGATTTTAGTTTCTCTTCCTACCCCAACCAAGATAACACCCATTTAGCTTTATTCATTTCAAAGATGTGGTAAAAGATAACCAGAAAATAGAACATAAAGTTAGGTCAGTGTGACGAAACAGATAATGCAAGAAGCTTGCCACACTGATGGTGGCAAGTGTCATCATCTACATATACTGAAGACAAGCGTATTACTCATACTACTCTTCTGAAAACATATGCAAAAGAAAATTCACCTTTTACTTAGGGAAGTTTTAGAATCTTAGACAGGACAGAATAGGGACACACCCCAGGGAGGCTGCTTATAAATATTTAGACTAGATTAGCCAAAGTTAAGAGAGTGATGAGAAACTTAAGAAACTTAAGGATGTATAACAGGAAGCTGATGCAACCTTGCACTGGCCTAAATGATTAATAAACATAATATTTTGTAACTTTAACTTTTGGTTCTTTAGATGAATGTTCTGTTTGCCAGATTTAATGAAACTCTCTCTCTCTTAAGCTATCTACAACTTATAGCAATTTGGTAAAACATAATTTATGAACAAAGATGGAAACATTTGCTTTCTCCCTATTTGATTCCTCCAAAATTGGAAAACTTTTTGTGAGTGTTTGTAGTGGATTGAATTATGTCCCCCAAAACTCACTGAAGCTTGAATTGTGTCCCCCAAGTTTTATGTATTAGAAACTTAGCCCCACTGTGACTGTTAACAGGGTGGGAAATCCTATTACGGTAATTGAAAGGTGGAGCCTTGAAAAGGTGATTGGATTGTAGGACTATGGTGTAGTGAATGGATTGAAAATGGTGGTCAGGGGTGTGGTTCTGAGGGCTTTAAAAGAAGAGGGAGGCGAGTCTGTCTGTCTGTCTGTCTCTCTCTCTCTCTGCTCTCTGCCTGCTCTCTCTGCTCNTAAGCAGTTCAGTCTCAGTCTTTAAGAAGAGCATTAGCTCTCCTGTTCCAAGTTC